CGGAAAAAAAAAACCACCGAAAAAAAAAAAAATCGTAGAAAAAAAAAATTGGAAAAAAAAAGGTGCGGGGCACTAAACAACACGCTCTTGCTATCCAACGGTGGGCGCTTCGAGATATTCTCTTTCATCGACGCCCACCACGTACCCGGCCCTGTTGGTGCGTTCTGTCGTTTAATCGCGTTGTGAACAATTCGGTATGCGTGCCACTCTGCAAGCCCACCCGCTGTCGATCGCCTTCATCCGCCGGCCACCGAAATTTCGATCCCAAATCCGGCGTGCAACGGACCATCGACCTACCCCACCCCGGCCAATGCTGCTTAAGGGTTAGGATACATATATATGTATATATATATATAATTTATCAAGACGAAGTCACACATGCCCTTAATAAAACAATACATATATATAAAAGTTCATCATTTCAATCAATCATCTTAGCAATTATCGCTGTGAAAATACAACACATTGTTTAATATGATTGATTTGGTCCGATGAAATATCATGTCAATGTAATCACTCCTCGTCGTTGATGTAGTATTGAAATACATAGAGTTTTCTCGTTAAGACAGAGAGAGAACTCTTTCAATCCTTCAAACCTCAATTCTGTCAATTGAAGCATATAGTTCGTCCATTTTTTTTTTTTTCTAACTACAAAACCAAGCTTAAGGTTACCCTCTAAGATGCAACTGAAAATATTTTCCTACTTGTTTCCTACGAAAATGTTGAAAGGTAATTTCATACCGATGAAACGTATTTGTTTATTTTTCTTTTCTTATGTATTTCCCCTCAATGCCAAGGCATGATAGTGAAATCATCAGGATAATCTGAATACTATCCATCCGGCCGCCCCATCTGCATGGAATGCTTTTGTTTTTCAGATTACCTCGTTAAGTCATAAATCATATGACTTTATCGACGTGCATAGTTTGTGTGAGGTGTTTTTTTTAAAATCAAGTGAAGTTTCCAAAGAATTATGTCTAACCCTGGTAAATTTGTGGTCTTCCGCTTCGCTGACCCTTCTGCGATGTGTTTTTCTGGAAATCAAGTGAAGTTTCCAAAAAAATATGTCTAACCCTGGTAAATTTGTGGTCCCCGCTTGCCGAAGTCTCCAACAAATCGAAACGCTGTCGCGCCCCCACCGTTTCCAAGGCCTGGCTCGATGTCCCTCCCCGGGTCGAGTAAAGTGGGTTGGTGGACTAGCAGGCTGTCACGCAGGATTTTGAAAAGTTTTAGGGAAATTAGAAGTGCATTCACAAGCAGCCTTTGTCACACAGTCGAGTAGTCAAGGTTATCCCTCCTGCCAGCGGCGACGCGGCTTAGAGTGAGGCGTTCGGTTTTATCGTCTGCACCTACCCCGTATGAAGGTTAGATTCAAGGTCACTGGACTCCCTATTAATAGGAGTCCTTCAAGCAGCCTTGAGTGTAACCTGTTATGATAAGGAGTGATAAATAACTTGTTACCTCATGCATAAACATTCCATGCATTACAGGACATGCAACATAAATCAAATGACACTGAGAGGACGAAAAAGACCAGAAACTAGACTCTGCAAGAGCATGACCAGAGACGCGAAACTGAAGAGTAGAACACAGAGAATACAGGAAGAAGCCATAAAAGGGGGCTGTAGTCACTGATTAATCAAAATAATGACATAATACATCTCAGTGACTAGAAGATACGAGTCTAATTCAATAACGACAAGTGGTACCCCCTCATGAGTGGGCTCGACTGTCTGGGACTCCGTATCTGGTACACGCTGGTACTCCTCATCATTGAGAATCTGAGTGGCTATCGACTCTGGGACCACATTGTTGATGTCGAAAGATGCCGCAGGATCGATCTTGCTGATATATGTCATACATCTCGCCATCTCCTCATCCGCGACACTCCGGAGGTACAACTCCTCCACGAGGGAAATATTGCCAGTGGCACCAATTAAGATCTCAATCCGTCCCTTGCCATAGATGTAATCATAAGAAACCTCCAGAAAACGGTCTCCATAAAGTGGCTTCCGAAAAGCCTGTATGACGAAATTTGCTCCCACCAAATGACTGTAGCCGTCCCCAAGATATGGGACTGGTCCCTTCCCCCTTGAAGGGCCGGCTACCTCCTCTGACCTGGGTCCTCCTGACATGTAATGCCTGAATCAATCACCCTCAAGCAGGTATCGTGCCAAGAGGTAAGCAACCCGTCGTAGGGATGCCTTCCGCCTGCGTCTCACTCCGGTAACCAATGTCATAAGATGCCCTGAATCTGCTCCAAGTCAAGCGTGCTGAATTCCTGTGAGTATCCCAGTCAAAATAATCTCCTAAGTCAACGTCGCTCACGCAGCAAGGTTCTTGGTCTGACTCGTCTATCCTCGACCTCTGTAAACAAGTAGTAATAGGTATCCCGGATCTGGCTACCTCGCTCCTTATGCTCCTGTCCAGACGCCTCTTTTCCTTGCTGCCAACTCTGGTTAGCGGTTTTGGATTACAACTATCAAAGTCGAAGAGAGCGCCACCTGGTGCAAAGGGGGCCTGGGGAAACACCACATGTAACCAGTGCTCCCTACTGTAACTCTCCCTGCGGAAGATATAGTCAGCAATCCGGTCATAGGTGGCTCCCTTTATTCCCTGGCCAACGTCTCTCACGTGATAACTGATCACCAACGTGTATCTCGATGTGGGAGACTCATTGACCCTAATGGCGAAGCTCGGATGTCCAATGTGTCGATAGCAGAACTTCTCAACCAGCTTTCCCCATGTAGGGGTTGTCTCAT